GTGTGGCGGAAATGTTACGCCCCTTACCATACTGTGATGCCGCCGTGTCCCGGTGCGACGAGACAAAAACATTAAAACCCATTATAAACGAGGCATTTGTTGCATCCATAATTACTGATTATAATGACTTATACTGTCTTTTTACGCGTTGCATTGCATCGCGCCACGTAAACATAAAACCATGTCTGCATTTGTGATCGGAGAAATGACAAACAACAAGCGCTACTCTACACTGCTCAAAAACAGTCTTCGTCCTCCGTAAAATGCGTTGCTCACATCTGAATATTTGGGTTGAAATGTTCTGGAACAGTGTTGTAAATACAACTTAACCACTGATTTCTAGTTGTGCCCTCTTTTGGAAGGCCAAACAAAGTAGTATCGCTTTCATAACTAAACACACATGTCTCCATGACATGGCGGCGGCGGCAACAATACTACAGCGAGAATCAAAGTTACACCTTCTTTCTTTGCTTGAACATTTTGGCGGTGTTATGCAAAGCTTCCCACACAGTGACGTAGACATGTGGGGGCGTGTTTAAACAAGGCGTTTTAGGAGGGCGTGGACCAGTCTTAACTTTTATAAAGAATATCTCTTTGGGTTTGAGACTTTAGTCTTTGCAACTTCAGGGATCTTATCTATTCACGAACAGCTTGTAACACTCGAAAGAGGAAGGAAAACTTGAAATCGCATCATATGACCCCTTTAAGATCTTATTCTGTGGTGCTTCTCAAGTAAATGTATCATGTTTTAAGAATTTTCAGACATTTCTTCTGGGGAAAAGGGGGGAGGAAGGAAGGAAGTCTCTTATGCATTTATTTGATCAAAAATATAGTAAAATCAGTAATATCATGAAATATTATTACAATTTAGAATATTTTTAATTTCAATATATTAAAATAATAATAAATATAATACATATTTTAAAACAATTTATTCCTCTGATGGCAAAGCTGAATTTTCAGCCATTACTCCAGTCTTCAGTGTCACATGATCATCTTACAATCATTCTAAGATTTGCTGTTCAGGAAACATTTCTTCTTATTATCAATGCTAAAAACTTTTAAGTTATATTTATGGCTTTATTGGGACAGGATAGTAGAGAGATGACAGGAAAGCATTGGGTGGAGAGAGGGGAGCGGGATCGGCAAAGGACCACGAGACGCAGTTGCACTGTATGTCGACGCACTACTCAATTATCGGCGCCGACCAGTTGCACTTTTTTTAAAGCTAGTGTAGGCAGTTTGTGGAGAGATTAGTTTTTTTCATTCCATCTTCCATCTATATCCAGTGTAGTGCTGTTCCCCTAACAGAGATGTAAAGCTCTGTTTCTCTGGCATTTTCAAAAGCACGTAAAATATAATACTGTAGCTTGGCGTACACAGTACACAGTCTAATGGTCTAACGAAATCCAATTTTAAACATCTTTTACTGTCGCTTATATTTCCTATTTGAGCCAATAGTTGAGAACTTATTTCAGGGTGAAACCACCCTAAAAAAAAACGTGATTGGCTATAACGAGAGCATGCAACGAAAGCATGTTTTCAAACAACCTTTTCAAACGCCCCTTTCACACATCATGCTTCCACCAACTCAAACATCACAAACAGAGCTCCTACAGCTCTATAAAAGTGAAGGCATGTCTCAACAAGTAAAAGTAGGCTACTTTCAATAAAAGGTCCAACATTTTAGGAATACTTTTAACTTTAAGTTTAGCTTACCTGTCGAGAAGAAACTCATTTGTCTTATCGATTGAAACGCAAACATTCCATCAAATTCCTCCATCTTGTTAAAACACTGCCAATGTTTACCTTGTTTTACCTCGTTGTCTGTCTCAGTAGCTGCATCCCAAATGACACACTATACACGTATACACTATGTACTTATGCAAGATGTACCTAATCACGTAGTGTATGAATTATATAAGGTTATTTTGTCATTCATAATCGGAGTCTGATAGCCCCTCCCCCTTTACTACAAAATTAAAGCTGCGACAGTTGAGTGCATGAAGTGTCCAACATTCCACACTTTGTTTTTTCAGTTATTTAAATGCATCATCCGAGTATTTAATGTGCACTTTTTCTTTTTGGAATTTTCACTGTGAACACGCTACTCGCACTATTTATACTAAACTCTATGCTGGGTTAAAAACAACCCAGTGCTGGGTAAAATAGGGACAAACCTAGCAATTGGGCTGTTTTGACCCAGCGGTTGGGTTAAATGTTTAACCCAACCTTCTGGTAATCCAACAGCATAAATACGTGATTAATACATATACACAAAAGTGATGTTTGTTCTATATTTCATGCACTATACATGTGATTTCGAATAAATTTCGAGACATCCCTGCTGGAAAAAAACCAACAAAAAACGTAGAAACCATTACAGAAATTCTAATGGTTTCCACTAAAAATAAAATACCATTACAAACTTTACAAACCATCAACTATTAACCATTAAAACCATTCAAAAATAGTTTCCTGTAGTGTGTTTTGGGACATATTCCATTAGGATAATCAAGTGCTATCTTTACACACGTGTAGATTATTTTTGGGGTCTTAGTTAAGCTGTTCATCAACAATCAAATGATTTTTTGTTTGAGCAGGGTGGGAGAACGTTTATGGTTTTGACATGACTTGCATCAGGAACGTAGCTATGAAAGAACCACTGGTGGACATCGTGGACTCAAAACAAGTGGTATCCAACGCCTGCCTGATCAAGGTCAGCCATTAAAACACTTCACAGAAATCGTGTATGTGCATGTTTCTCACCGCATGTGTGATAGATGAGAAGATCAAGTTCCACAGAGAATACAGCAGCATTAGTATGTAACTGATCATTAGCTCTATCCCTCAGTGTGACAGTTACATAATGATCCGTTGAAATGCAATTTCATTTCATTATAAACCACTGGAGAAGGTGCTGATGAGATGATTATTGGTTGAATCGGATTCATCAAGCCTGGAAAGTTTATGGCTCCACAGATGGACTGTGAAATGCATCTGCAAACCTCTAATTTTAACTGCTAAAAGATAATATTAAAGAAATATATTTGAAACAAAAGGCTTTTCAGCTATTTACAGCTCTGTCACAACTAATCCAATTTAAAACTTCGATGCAAATCAGAGCTGGAAAATAATTAGATATGTAGCAGTCTTAATAAAGGAATTTGAAAAGTACAAGTGACATCACTACATTATAATATATGAAATGAAAAACATTATATTAATTTACAAATGGTATTAATGGTTTATTTAAAGACTAAATATTAAATTAATAATATATATATTTCATGCACTATACATGTGATTTCGAATAAATTTCGAGACATCCCTGCTGGAAAAAAACCAACAAAAAACGTAGAAACCATTACAGAAATTCTAATGGTTTCCACTAAAAATAAAATACCATTACAAACTTTACAAACCATCAACTATTAACCATTAAAACCATTCAAAAATAGTTTCCTGTAGTGTGTTTTGGGACATATTCCATTAGGATAATCAAGTGCTATCTTTACACACGTGTAGATTATTTTTGGGGTCTTAGTTAAGCTGTTCATCAACAATCAAATGATTTTTTGTTTGAGCAGGGTGGGAGAACGTTTATGGTTTTGACATGACTTGCATCAGGAACGTAGCTATGAAAGAACCACTGGTGGACATCGTGGACTCAAAACAAGTGGTATCCAACGCCTGCCTGATCAAGGTCAGCCATTAAAACACTTCACAGAAATCGTGTATGTGCATGTTTCTCACCACATGTGTGATAGATGAGAAGATCAAGTTCCACAGAGAATACAGCAGCATTAGTATGTAACTGATCATTAGCTCTATCACTCAGTGTGACAGTTACATAATGATCCTTTGAAATGCAATTTCATTTCATTATAAACCACTGGAGAAGGTGCTGATGAGATGATTATTGGTTGAATCGGATTCATCAAGCCTGGAAAGTTTATGGCTCCACAGATGGACTGTGAAATGCATCTGCAAACCACTCATTTTAACTGCTAAAAGATAATATTAAAGAAACATATTTGAAACAAAAGGCTTTTCAGCTATTTACAGCTCTGTCACAACTAATCCAATTTAAAACTTTGATGCAAATCAGAGCTGGAAAATAATTAGATATGTAGCAGTCTTAATAAAGGAATTTGTAAAGTACAAGTGACATCACTACATTATAATATATGAAATGAAAAAAATTATATTAATTTACAAATGGTATTAATGGTTTATTTAAAGACTAAATATTCAATTAATAATATAAAAGTAATATATAGTAAATATATTTATTACTTGTCTTTCTTTAGAATAAAATATATTATTTAGTATTTTTTAGTGCCATTTAATCAGCAAAATACCATTTGGAGCCATTCCTTTTTCTACTGATTGAAGTGTGTCCTAAACTGACCTTAGAGGAAATTATATAATGATATTCTGGCATATTCTACTCCAGTCATCAGTTAAAGTTTCATTAACGTTTTTTATTTTTAAAGATCTGGGCCCGTATTTTTAAAGTTTCTAAGAATCCTCTCAGAGAGCTCCTAATTTATCTTAAAATTTTTTAACTAGGAATCTTAGCTTAGGAGTGATTCAGGACCGATCTGAGAGCAACTCTGAGAGAGGGAAAGACAAAAACTTTCATCATAGTGAGGAGGTGGGGCTTACCCCTGTTGCTAGGTATGACACATTCTTTAAAAGACTGTAATTGGTTGTCCAAAAAGAAAAAAATAAGATATAGGGTCTATTTTTTTCCTATTTTACCCTAATCACTCTCACACACACACACACACACACACACACACACACACACACACACACACACACACACACACACACAAACACACTATTACTTGTATTTGTGGTTTACGGGGACTCTCCATAGGCATAATGGTTTTTATACTGTACAAACTGTATTTATATTGCCCTACACCAACCCTACCCCTAAACCTACCCCTTACAGGAAACTGCTGGCAATTTTTGAATTTCATAAAAAAACGTTTTGTATTAATGAAGTTATTAGACAGACAGAGAGAAAGAGAGAGAGAGAGAGAGTATCAGAATCAGATATTGGGGTAAAATATACAATATTATAAAAACAATGTATTCAAACAATCAATGGCAATTAAAATTGGAAATACACAAACAGAATTCTTCACTCAAGGGCGGGGTGTAAGGCAGGGCTGCCCACTATCACCGACCCTCTTCAATATCAATACCAAAATTGAAAATGCCACAAACTACACATACCTCAGGCTGAAAATAAGTACAACTGGTAAGCTAAATTTGGCTGTGAATGAACTGAAAGAGAAAGCAAGAAGGGCCTTTTATGCCATCAAAAAATCTTTTCAAAATGAAATACCAATTAGAATCTGGCTCAAAATCTACCAATCAGTCATAGAACCTATTGCATTATATGGCAATAAATCACGAATTTGAAAAATGGGACATAAATCTGATTGAAGCCCTGCATGTGGAGTTCTGTAAGAGGCATCCTCAGAGTACATAGGAACACACCGAACAATGCATGCAGGGCAGAATTAGGCCAATACCCTCTATTAATGCACATTGAGAAACGAGCCATCAGATTTTGGAAACACCTAAAAATGAGTGACCCCAACTCTTACCATTTTAAGGCCCTTAAAATCCATGAAGTGAACCCTGAAAAAAGTCCCCTGATTGCCCCTGAAGCTGCAAAAACAAACTAACATGACTAACAACGGCCAGCGTCAGGACATCGAAACATCCATCCACAAAATTCGGCCCAACCAAATTATAAAAGCACAAAAAGAAAATTATCTAACTTATTGGACTGAAACAACAGAAAAACAAAGAAAACTTGTATGTTATTTGGCCCTAAATAGAGAATACACAACTGCTGAATATCTGAGTACAGTGAAAGACTGTAAATTAAGAAGACAGATGACGAGGTACAGACTGAGCAATCATACTCTGACTATAGAGACGGGCAGATATCGACAGCATTGGCTGCCCAAAGAGAGCCGCAATTTCCCATACTGTTCCCATGGAGAAGTGGAGACAGAGCAACACTTCCTCACCAGCTGCCTTAACTATCAAGACATTAGAAAAACATTTTATCCCAAATTTGAAGTGCTTTGCTCTGACTTCAAAATGTTAAACAATAAAACACAACTTCAATATTTATTAGGTGAAAAACAAGATTGTATCTTACTAGCAGCAAGATACATTGATGCCTGTCACAAAAGAGGGAGGAGTCAACAAATCAGTGATGCGCCTACACACACACACACACACCACTGAATTTTAAATTGTTCATAGAATAATAAATGTTGATTTGTTCTATTTTAATTATATATGCATGCATGTATTTTTATTATTATTTATTTATTATTATTATTATTTTATTTATATATATATTGTTAATACATATCTGTTTTAGATTGAATGTAAACACTATGCTTTGGCAATACATTGTAACAATTGTCATGCCAATAAAGCACATATTGAATTGAATTGAACTAAATTGAATTGAATTGAGAGAGAAAGAGCGAGAGAGAGAGAGAGAGAGAGAGAGAGAGCGTGTTTATTACCTCTCTGAGTCTGTGTGTCTCTCAAAATTGTTCGGCGGCAGCGTCCCTACTAACAGTGAAACTTTAATTTAATTTTCTTCACGAACAGCGCCGTTGTTACCTCGCTTGTGAGAAATATCATGTAACTTTTAAAATAAAATCTCCAGAGTAGCGATAACAACGTTAGCGCGTGTATGTTTCTGTAATCTCGGCGGATTCAAGAGCGCTGAACGGCCGCTGACGCCCTAGAGCTCACATCTCCAAAAACGTCAAAAGAAAATTTTCATATAGACGTTATCTTCAGACCGCCTATTAAAGTAGAAACAAGTACACTCTCACCTAAAAAACCCTTAAAACTACATTCCGTGACACAAAAACAGTATTATTTTTTAAAATTATAGGGGATTTGGGCAGTGCCGATCCTAGACTTCTGGGGGCCCTATGCAAAACTGTGTCGGCGGGGGCGGGGCTTTGCTGCAGTGCGGTGGAGCAGGGTATGAGTGGTTATGAATGAATGAATAAAATGCATTTGTCCGTGTTTCACTCCGTCTCGAATCATGCTCACAGAAAGCGCTTGAGAAACAGTGTCTCTTCTGCGGCTCGGTACGCTTTCAACTCGTTTTTTTAGTCTCGAGCAAGACTGTACAACATTCACATTACATGATTTGACTAATTTTTACGTAGAAAGGACGACAGCACACCGCATTAAAAGAAATGATCATTCATGTTTTCATAACTGCTGGCCAAATTCAAAAACGAAACTAAAATGAAATCATCTTTGAGAGCAAGGGGGCCCCCTGGTGTTTCAGGGGCCTTACGCAGCTTGTGTATTTTGCGTATAGGGAGGATCGGCTCTGGATTTGGGCGTCCACCATGAGACACGCTGTGAGAAATACCGCAAGCGGAGTAATACAAACGGTGAAAGCGAAATGAGTTCTGTTATCACACTAATATCACACTCCTATCAGCCAATCAGATTCGAGGACCAGATAGAACTGTTATATATATATATATATATATATATATATATATATATATATATATGTGTGTGTGTGTGTGTGTGTGTGTGTGCGTATTT